CCTACATCCCTAAACTTCAACGTCCAGCTGAAATCATGATGGCACTGAGCTGCCAAGCACATAGGTATCCTTTTTACTTGTCTCACATCTAGAGCATCCTCTCCTTGGATTGTAACCTGGTCATAGATTCATAGATGTTAGGGTCGGAAGGACCTCTATAGATCATCGAGTCCGACCCCCTGCATAAGCAGGAAAAGCTATATACTCATCTAACCTCCTCTGGTCATGGTTTAGAGGCTTGTGTGTTCCAATGACTCTCAGAGCTATGTCATCTGGAGACTTGTACTCCTGGTAGGGTCTCCCCTGGCAAACAGATCGGAGGTGAGATCCCAGACTAAGCATGGTCCAAACTCCTGAAGACCCCAATGGCAGAATAGTTATACTTGACCTGCTGGTTCTCTGTGGCTGTAAAGGCAAATGATGGCTGCAGCAGGATGGAGGTCTCTGGTTGTCTTGGACATCCTTGCCACTGGGTTTAGGGCTCCCTCCTGTCAAGCTCATGTGTTTGTCGCTTGTGCACTGGCATCCCCACGTTAAAAGATGTCACACACAGGCCTCAGCCAGGGATGTTAACATCTCCCACAAACCAAGTGCTGCGATGGCAGACGAATAGTGGTGGAGGCAGGAACAATGATTTTTGGGAGTCCCTAGTCAGAAATCTTCATGTAGGCGGTGGTTATGTGATGGTCATTTTGCACTTACCAAGATGGAAGTACAATTCAGCAGCTGCAGCCATAACTGAGCAGTCCTCTTTAGGATCCCTTCTGCTCGCCCTGAATGGGGAAGGGGCTAGAAAAGGTGCCTTAAACATAGGCTGTCTCAAAGCCCTCTGGCTAGATTGCAGCATCCCATGGGATCACTCTATTTGCAGCTGAAACCAACAAAATAAAGTATTAAAGTTTGCTGCATGGAATATCCACACTCTCATGGACTCCCTGAACAACAAGCCTCCTGAAAGAAGAGCCACCATAGTAGCTAGAGAACTTGTAAGATATGACATTGATGTTACTGCCCTAAGTGATACCTGCTGTGCGGATGAAGGCCAGCTGAAAGAAGGAGGTGGCTGCACTTTTTTTTGAAAGGGAAAGTCACCTGAAGATGGCTTTGCCATCAAGAACAAGATTGTCAACTTTCAGAACTCCCTGTGGGCATTAACAAGCACCTTATGACTCTCCACCTCAAGCTCTGTAACAACCAGCATGCTATGGTCATCAGTGCATATGCCCCCACACTTGATGATGAAATGTTAACAAGGAACAGTTCTACTGTGCTCTTGACACAGTCCTGACCGCCACTGCCAAGGAAGAAAAGCTCATCCTCATAGGTGACTTCAACATGAGAGTTGGGCAACACTGTGAACTCTGGAGTGGCATCACTGGGAAAGAGGGGGTGAGGATAGTCAACTCCAGTGGTATCCTCCTCCTCAGCAAATGTGCAGAGCATGACTTGCTCATCCGAAATACCATCTTCAGACAAAGTAACAAACATAAGACCACTTGGAAACATCCATGCTCTGATCACTGGCATCTTCTTGACTATATAATTGTCAGAACGTGTGATTGTACTGATGTTTGTATCACCCAAGTCCTGAGAGGTGCAAATGGCTGCTGGACAGACCACTGTTTAGTCAGGATAAATCATGGACATGCAGCTTGCACCGCAATACCATAAACAACTGACAGGAATGCAGAAGAGATTTATCATCAAGGCACTCCAAAACCAAGCTAGATGTGAGGCTCTTCAGCAACACCTGACTGAGAGGTTCTTTGACCTACCTGATGACATCAAGGACATCCAGGCATATTGGGAAGAGCTTAAAAACATTATTCATAAGGCATGTGCTGAATCAACTGTGCTCTACTTACCATCACCAAGATTGGTTTGATGAGAACCATGAGGAAATCCTAGCACTTATCCATCAGAAGAGAACCATGTTCTCCAGTTAGGAAAATGAACCCTCCAACCAGTGAAAACAAGAGGCTTACTGGGAGCTTAAAGCTGTAGTTCAGATGAGGCTACAGGACATCAAAACCCAGTGGTGGCAAGGCCATGGATATACAGAGTTTCGCTGACCAACATGACATGAAGCCCAGAAACAGCAGAGGAAGAAGGAAACTGCACAACATCCTGGCCAACAGTTGTGCCATCACCCCCCAAAGCACCACTTGTCATATCTGGGGAGAAACTTGCAGAGCACAGATTGAACTCCGCAGCCACCTTTAAACTCGCCAGTAACACCAACCCCACCCCGCCGGCAGACATCCTTGTCTCGAGGGATAGCCGACGATGAATGATGTAGAGCATCCTTACTGGATTGGATTTTGTAACATAAAGGAGCCGCTGCAGTTGTTGTCCATATATATTCAATAGCCTAGTGGTCAGGGTGTTGATCTAGGATGTGGGTTATTCAGCCCACAAGTACAAATCCTTCTCTGATATAATTGGAACAGGGACCTGTGCCCAGATTTCTCGCCTCTCAGGAGAATATGCTAACCACAGGTACTGAGTAGCCTAGGGAGGGTCTCCCTCAACCTCTCACTAATATTCTTCTATGAGAGATTAAGGGAGACCCACCTCAGACTGGGAGTGTGATGCTTTGAGTAGGTCATGCTCCCAGCAGATGGAAATCAGGGTTCAGAGCCCTGTGCCAAACCAGACTGGGAGATTTGAACCTGGGGCTCCAGGATAGTGCTCGAACACCTATATCACTGCATGGAAAGCAGAGCAATGATGTTTGAGACAGGAGTACCTGGAATTTAGAAACCCGAGTCCTGGAGAGGATTATTTTCGAGCCTGTAATTCAATGCCTAATTCTCCCCAGTATTGTATAAAGCACATGGGCATCCTACTGAAGATTTCAGCAAGTGACAAGGTACCTTAGGATTTAACCTATGCAAGGCTGAAGCTCAATCAGCTTTCTGGATTTAACCCTAAATGACTTGTCTAAGGTAACACAGGACATCTCTAACACAGCAGGAACATGTAGCCAGGACTTCAGCATTTTAGGCTAATGCCCTAACCACTGTGTTTCCCTTCATCCTCAATCCCTGTTCAAACTGTAATGCAGAATTATTTCTCTTTGTGTTTACAACACAGTAACTGAAGAGCATATTGCCCCCCTTGGCTAATAAGCATATAACATTGGCAGGTAACTGCAGTGAATGACAGACAAACCCTGTGGAAAGCCACGAGAAAATTTCTAGCCCAGTGGCTTAATGTTGCCAAGTCGGGTGCACAGTGCAAGTACTGACCATTCTTATCTTTAGGATACAGCACTGCCCCACAGAGACGTCCTATCCCAGAAAACAATATACCATCTTCAGTCAAACAACTGAGAATTTTTTGCTAGGACTTCTATTCTTGTTTGCCACACCTTTGTACTGAAGCTGGTAGTGGTTGAAGTTTATACAACAATGGGTACAGCCCTCAATCTCCTCACAAGCTATCTATATTAACTCCTTTATGCACAGCATTTAGATATTCCTATTTTAGATAATTAGCTGTCATTTCACTTGTTTCTGACAGTTTGTCTCTGACATAGATTGGACTGTTTACAGTAGTAAGAACTGCACCTATTAGTGTTCTTTGGGGTTCACAACAATCATTAAGGACCATCTACTCTGTGTGTGTGTGTGTGTGTGTGTGTGTGTGTGTGTGTGTGTGTATAAAGTAGTATAACATGAAGGTACCAGCAGTGAACCCACAGTCCCATAGCAGGAGAATGATACCATGTTTTTTTTATATAGCATGCCCCCATATATAGCACGTGCTATGGTATTTTTTTTATGGGAGTCTGAAGAAAAACCCATCTTTGAGTTAAATGGCAGCAGCTAGGGAGCAAAGCCTGTCAGGGATGTGCACTGAGTCCAACACCAATGGAGAGCCGTGGCAATTAACACTGCTCCTCACCCCCACCCCTGCTCCTGCCAAATTTCCAGACCTGTGGAGATCCCTTTTCCTCTCATATAACGCACACCTTCAGTTTTCCCCAGCTGGTTTGGCTGCGGGGAGGGGTGGTGAAAGTGCAGGTTATATGCAAGAAAATATGGTATTGCCTACTAGTGAGCTTCATAAGCCCCTAGCACATTCCACTTAAGCTGTGATTAACTAGTTAATCATGTCTTAAATTGTTACCTAGCCACACATTAATGTAATTAATGGTGTGATAAAACAAGGAATAAGCTACAAAGTTATTACACCAAATATGTGTAATAACTTTGGGGCTGGTTCCTATCACACCATTAATTGAATGTGTGGGTAGGCTAGTGCTCCCAGACACAGGGACGCAGCTGGGAGTGTCAACTGATGGTGCTCCAAGCCACGGGGGTGTACCATGCGCATGCCAAGCTGGGAGCCTTGTCAGCTGACCCTGCTCCCAGCTGCAGGAGCTTGCTGTTTGCTGGTGCAGGGGGACCCCAGGATGAGAATCTCAGGTTTCCCCTGCACTAGCAATGAGGTGCACTCATGCTTCCTGCCATCCACATGAGGATTATGGGAATTGTGCATGGGATGCCATTGCACCTTTAACTGCACATATGCCAGGGGCCATAGTCTCAGTTGATTCCAACAGTGCAGTAATAGTGCCAGGAATTTGACTAGAGAAAGTGGAAATTTAATTATGATGGAAGTAAAAGATGTATCACTGTACCAAATCTTACCTCTGCTTAGAGGGACTGAGGGGTAGCAGAGGTACCTACAGGTCCTTAGACAGCCACGTGTTCACAGATACCTGGCTTTTTTGAGCTGGTTAAAAACTAATAATTTTCCTGGGATTTTTTTCCTCTTAATTCTACAGAGTGTCAGGATCACGAACAAATGTTTTTATGAGGTTTAAGACCACAATGAAGGAGGGTCTTCTGATGTGGCGGGGAGACAGTCCCATGCGACCTAACAGTGACTTCATTTCTCTTGGACTTCAAGATGGAACTTTAATATTCAGGTAACCTATAGCTGGTTTAATTATTTAGAAGACCAGGTAGATTGCACCTTATAGATTAAAGTAAGTGTGCGTGCGTGCGTGCGTGTGTGCATAGATATACAGATAGCACAAGCTTTTGAGAGCCGTAGGTCACTTCAGCAGAGGCTGTCTCTGTTTTAACTGTTTCCACAATGATCCCACACTTCCTGTTCAATTAAATCACTGCAGCACAGAGTAATGCTCTTCTGTAGAACACAGACACTGGGTATTAAACCTATATAGTTTAGTTCACTGTTCAAGTCCATTTGTTTCTGGAATAGTATGTGAAATATACCCTCTTGTTTGTTTTTTCTCAATGCTCTAATTCTCTTTGAAATGCCTGGGTTTTTTCTCATAATCAAATATTCTTCCTGCCAAAACCCTAAAATCCAGAAGACTCTGACAACATCCAGAGCCTTCTGCTTTCTTGGGAATTATTCTTTTCGTTGTAAGTGCTCAGACAGATTCCATACAGCTTTATGCATAGTGCTGTGCTGGGACCACTGATTGGCAGAAGCTGTATCTTTCCATATTAGAATTCTTTTCAAATTAAGTAAAGTCATCAGCGAAATGGAAAAAAGTCATCTTCCATCACGCTTATACCTGTTTGCAGCAGGTTGCAGTGCAGTGTTCATAAATGGAAAGGCTTTATCACTTTAAGATTTAATTTATGGCAGTCTAGTGCCCAGCTATATTGTTCAGCCCTTTGGCTCTTCCTAGTTGTGGTTGAAAATCATAGGTACAAAAGCTGAGTTTCACATACCAAAATTAAGAGTTAAATTGATGGCTCTAAACTCATTTTCTTGTGGTTTCCTGTGGTTAACCTTGAAAAAATCTTTGCTGCCTCATGGTCTGTGAAACAGGGAACTGAAACAGTGGATGAAATAGAGCATTTTGTAAGTGTCATTAGGCGAGTTGTAGTATCCAAAGCTGTTGGCAATAATTTGGAGGTAACCTTGCCCGTAGAACACCCATTCCTTACTCATGATATTAGTTTCTCCCCTCATTCTTACCCGAGGCATTTGATATGAATTTGAATCTGGATATTTAATTTCATACTTTCAAAAGTATGTGCTGATGCCATAGTGATCTCATGGAACTTAGCCAAGAGTTCAATCATCAAATTCCCACCTAAACTCTTAAGGCTTATTCATGTACTGTGGCAGTGTGTCCCAGCAGTAGGGAGACCAAGACAGTGTTTATCAGTAGGGCTGTTCTGGGTTCATCCCCCTGCTTGGGCTCTCAAGCCCTTTAACTCTGGTGGGCATGCCTGGAGTGGCCTCACTGGCAAACCAAATTGCTCTCCCTGCCCCCAACCTCCCTCACTGGGATACATTTCTGCAGTGATGCAGACATGTCCTTGGTCGGCTATAGGCATCTATATTTTCAGTGATAATTATTTTCTGAGGTGCCCAGAGGTCCATTATGTGTAATCTGAGAACTGCCTTCCCAGAATCACGGGACTCTGAATTTTAGATCCACCCTTCTCAGCATCCTTCACTGGCTCTCTTTAGGCATCTCCCTAGTCACTGTGCTGGCTTTTGTGGGATTTACAGGATCAGAGGAGCATTGTAGATTTATACAGTCATAGGCCTGAAAGTGCCCTCAAGGATCTTAGATAACTACCACTCTCCCTGCATTGTCTACACTGAAGTCCTGGAAGTTTAAAGGAACTTGGGTATCTCTGTCACTGCAGTTACTTCCATGTCCCCATATATCCGTTTCAGTGACTGCAGTGTAGTGTAGAGCTACTCAAACTAGCTTTAATCTAACTGGCTTGGGCACTGGAAGAAGCCTAACCATGGCAATACAGAGCTCAGCATAGACTCATTTACCCCTCGTCTTTAGGCAGGTAGGCACCTGGAAGTTAGGCATTGCAAAGTTCAGTGCCGTGACACATAAGTCCCCTTTATGAATCTAGCCTAGTGTCTAAAGCTGGGCCCCCAGAAGTTGAGGCAAAATAAAACATGGTTATGACTATCTGAATTTTAATAAGGGTTGAAGCATAGACATTTTCATACCCATAAGTGAAATAGTGGGGTTCCTGGCTCGTGCCCTCTGCTCAGTTCCCTGGTCATTACCCCTTGCTAACAACACAAGTCTTTTTCAACCCAGATTTTTTGTGTATATTTTTTCCATACATTCCTATACTAACATATCTCTTGTCCTAGTAAGTCAAAAGCTTGGTAAGACACTTATCTATATAGCCTTCTGTTATTAGGCAAAGCTGCCATGTAGGAACCCCCTGTTTGATTGCTCATCTCAAGCCCTGGGCTCATCGTGCCACGTAGCCAGCACCCTTTGTTGTTTAGATGGGCACTCTGTCACCTTGTAAGCTCCTTCAATACAGTGAAGGAATAACAGTGATAGTCACCCTAGGGATTCCCAACCATTCTCGAGGAATCCTGGATGCAAGGGGAAGCGGGGTAAACCAGAGTGTTGTCAAGCCGAAGATGGGGTGGTGTTACTCACAGATCATTTGTTAGGGATTGCATGTCTCTAAGGGAAGTGAACAATGCCTCTTCGCTTTTCACATTTCAGCTACAACCTTGGCAGTGGTATTGCTTCCATAATGGTGAATGGCTCTTTCAATGATGGGAGGTGGCACAGGGTAAAGGCAGTTCGGTAAGTCCCTCTTCATGTTATCAGTGGCTGCATCTATACATGCATATTAACGCAAAGCGATAAACTCCAGAGCTTATTTCTTTGGGTGTGCTATTTGCACATGAGCCTGGGACCACAGCATATTGAGCCAGGTCACAGCAGCCCTTGCTGGCAGGGGGCCAGCAGCCTGGGCTGGCAGGGGACAGGGCTGCTCCCTCTGGTTCAACATGCTGAGGAGTGACTGCCCTAGTCCCTGCACTGAAGCACCCTTGTGTCCCAGCCAGCTGGGGCAGCAGCTACACATGCGCTGCTGTGTTTTTCACTCTGCAGCAGGATAGTACTTACAAGTACTTACAAGCACTATCCTGCTGCGGAGTAAATTAGTTAACTCCAGCCTAATTGGGGTGCATGTGTAGATGCCAAGATGCCACACAGCTAATTAGTCTACTGCACAGTAAATGTCTCATATAGATGTGCCCAGCAAGTGCCAGGTTATGCTGAGACATTTTGGAGACTGCATTTTATGGTGCCAAACTAAAAAATCCAAGTGAGAAGAAAACTACAAGTGTAGCCAGATGCTTAGCTTATACAGAGCACTGCAGCCCCACTGACACAGGGCTCTGACCTTAAATGCTTAGCAATTTTTAACACATCTGACAGAACAAATACAAACACCGTTATGCTGGAGATGAGCCAGGTGAAGTCCAGCCTTGAAGCGAGGCACAGCTCGGACTGGTTTGCCAGAGTACATCATGCCACGGTTAGTTGGAATCCATGACAGACAGGTATTCAACCCCATACCTTTCCACTCTCAGGCAGATGACTTAATTTCTCAGTCCTGATTGTCATTTGAATCAAGAATTTGAACTTTCTGCTTACCTTAGACCCTGGGACTCATGAGATTTGCCACTGGCCTGCTTGAAAGCTGCAACACCCCTGAGCATCATTGCTGCCTCTGTTCTGGGACGGTAGTGCATGGAGCAGTGTCAGGTGGGGGGGAGGCGGGGGCTTTGCTTTCAGCAGCAGTCTGAAGAGTGCCACAGAGATGCAGTGTAGTCATGCCCCAAGTTCCCTTCTATGGGCTAGTAGAACAGGGGTTGCCAATGTATGGTTCATGGGCTGGGTCCAGTCCATGGAGCTGCTGGATCTGGCCTGGAGATCCTGAGGCCTTTGTCTATGCTTGCGTACATTCCTGCACTGGGGCTGAGCAGCAAGGATCTACACTGGGCTGGGCAACTTCCAACCTCCCTCCCCTTCATCCACCTTCCAGCTGTGGTGCAGATGAGGCAGTAGTGTGGAAGCTGCCTGGCCCTGGCAGAGCTCCCCAGCAGCTGGAAGCTGAGCCCGCACCCAGCCAAAGAGCCGGGGGCTGGGGGAAGCAGAGGCAGCATTGGCACAACTACTAGCTGCCTGGCCATGGCATAGGTGGAGGCAACAACCCCTCTGCTGCTGACATACTGCCAAAGTCACGTGGCCTGTGTTGGTCAAGAGCCTGGTTGTTCTGGCTCACAGCTTGAAAAGGTTGTTGGCCATCGGGCTAGTTCAAGAGCCATAGCATTGCAACTGGACTCTGTTTTCCCAAAGCATTCAAAGCA